CAATTTCCTATCATTTTTGTCCATTCTTATTTTATTTATTTAACTTGTATTACAAACTATTTTAATATATTAATATAAATGCTCAAATTAAAGTTTTTAAAAAATTATTTGAATGATATTTTAGTGTAATTAAATGCACATTTCCAAATATATCTATGATAGTAATATTGGATATATATACAATTTAAAAGGAATGTGAAGTAGAATTTATATTTAAAAAAGTAAAAAAGTTAATAATAATATAATATGAATAAAATAAAAAACATAATTTCTTACAAAAAAAAATGTAATCTTTTCATATAACTTGACATTTATCAAATTTATTCCTTTTTTCCAATCCCTTGAATAAAGTTTTGTTCTTACCACACATCCCAAAAAAAAAAAAAAATTGAACCATTAATAATCTAAAAAGAAAAGAATACATAAATTTCAAATAGATAAACTTACAAAATTCTTTTCAAAAAACAATTATCATATCTTCTATAAAAAAATTCATAACAAATAATAAGTCTAATAAAAAAATAGTTTATACAACAATATACATATTTTAGACTAAGATGAAAAAAGATATATGAAATAAAAACATAATATTATATTTAGATATAATATGAAATAGGAAACAAAAAAAAATATTTGGAATTCACCATATTAATAAAATGAAATTGAAGAGAGGAAGAGGAGAATATAATATATTGGTATAAAGAAAAATGAGAGTTTATATATAACTGAGTAGGAAGATGGAATGGTATTGTACATGAAGAAGAAGAAAACCAAAAGGCTAGAAAAATTTGTAACTACACAAATACAAATTATGTTATGCATTACAATCCTATACATTTATTTTTCATAAATTTTAAATATCTATTCATCCTCCTTCATTTTAATGCATTATGTATGTAATGAAAACTAATAATGATAAAATAATTAAGAATATAAAGATAAGAAGTAGAAGACAAAGAATATGAAAGATAAAAAGGTTGAATTCATATTATTAAATAGATTTATTTGCATAATTTTTTCTTTTATAATTAAAATTAAATGACAAATTTTAGGGTTAATTAATTTATTCTTCAGTTACTACTGAAAAATTAATTAGTATATAATTATAAAATAAATTATATAATAAATAATAAATAAAAATAATTATATAATATTATTATATATTATATATGTATATATAAATGCATACCCTATTTAATGCATAAGGTAGCATTATATATATATATATATATAGATTCATCCATTACACCATGTAATATAATAGTAACACTCTAAAATCATCAAAACCAAATTATTCAAAGCAACAACTTTTATTAACCCATATTGTCAAAGGCAATGAAGCCCCATAAACCCATAAGCCCAAAAATTACATAATTCTATCCAAATATTTCTAAGTGGCAATGCAAAAAATACTGACATGGGACAGCTTAGAGGGTATGGTAGACTTGAGGATTTAGAGGCTTATTTGAACGTAGTTTAGGCTATGAATATGGTGCATGAACAGTAAAAAAGGTTAGAAAATTAGTAAAGAAGAGAGAAAAGAATAATGAACCTTAGAAATCACACCTAGGTAACCTTAGGAATCACTATTAAGGTAGATTGCTTCACGCAATTAAGAGCAAAACTTGCTAGAAAAATTTGAATATTATTAAATGAATATCTAGAGTAACTTATAAATATGTATATATATAATAACTACTAAAAGTCCTAATAAAACTCTCATTTAGAAGTTTTAATCCAATTAGGACTCAACAAAAATAAAATTAAATAGTTTTTAAGAATAATAATAATAATAATAAAATTACTAGTAAAAGACTTAATTAAGCTCCCAACTAAGCTAGCTTTTCATCATTGGCCATGTGCCAAACTAAAGCATAGGCTTTAGAGCCAACTTTGGCTCACCTTTTGTAAACCTCATAATTCTTATCAAGAATAAATTAAACCTCTCATTTTATATAAAATTCATCTATTACCCATGTAATATAACAATAATACTCTAAAATTATCAAATTCATTTAAAGCAACAATTTTATTAACCCATATCATCAAAGAAAATGAAACCCCACAAACCCATAAACCCAAAATTACATAATTCTATCCAAATATTTCTAAGCGGCAATGCAAAATTAAATACACAACTTATTTGCAATTGGGACTTGAAGTTGACGAAGAACACCCATCATTCTTCACCTTTAACCATACTTCTGCCTCACCCACCTCGCCTCGAAATCAACAGCCAACTACCACGCAACTGTCACCATTCAACCCCCGCCCCACCCCCCTCCCCCCCCAACAACACCTCCATGCTCTCTCTCCTTGAAATGAAAAAAGTAAAGAGAGAAAAGGAGAGAAAGGAGGTAGCGAAATAGGGTAGGGGAGCTTGAGATATGAAGGAAATGTAGGGAGATATGGGAACTTGGGCACACTAAAATTGGGTTGTTGTTTCAGAACTATATTTTTGAATCACATCCCAAAATTCCCTTTTCCCTTTTGAATGTAAGCTACAATATAAAACTATCTCATGTCATAAAACCATGTTCTCTATAATACAAATGGGAAAAGTTGGACTAAACGAAGAGCAAAGAAGTAAAAAATCAAATTACCAATCCAACCTCTTGTGAAGAAGGGTTTAATAGGTGAATAGCCATTTTGCACCTCACTAGTTCAAAATGTAGAAGGGAAGTTAAACAGTAAAATGGAAATTTTAGATGGAAAGAAGGATGTTAGGATTTAGGAACACAGGTTTACATCAAAAGACCACAATGCCCCTAAAATAACTAACACACTATTAGAGCTCTTCCATGAGGTCAAAATTGTAAACACAACGTGAATAATGAAGTGAGAGAAAGGAACAAAATTTGGTGATGAGAGAGATAGGAAGAAGAGAGGACTCAAGATTTTTATATTTAGACTAGCATTATCCAATCCAGTTTGCATGTTGTTGTAATGAATTTGTGTTTTAAAAAAATAAAAAGTTATTATTAGAAGCAGACAATAAAATAAAATATATAAAAAGGAAAAATGTGATATTAAATAATTAGTTTTTTGATGTTTTAATATGTTCAAAAGGTCTTTTAATGCCATGAGATAAAAATTTGTGAAAGTAAGATTGTTTTTATCAAACCTAATATATTTGATTTACAACAATAAAGTATACATACAAACTTTTTCATCTTTTCTATTTATGGTTATAAACTTTTTTGATTTCTCTAAATAAGGCAGTAAACTTTTAATTTTTTTGTTTAAGGATGTTAATTTTGTTTTTTTTTTTTTTATTACAAGTTAGTTGGATGTTGATGCTGATATGGCATAGAGTTTTTTTAACCATTCAACTAATTATCCTTAAATAAAAAAAAATGCAAAATTGATGTTCTTATGTTTGGGTTGAAGGAATAGAAAGGAGGGAAAAGTTTTTTAACCAATATAAATTAGACTTTGATTTGAAAATTTGAATCAACCCATCTGTTATAGATTGAGTTATGGGTACGTATAAGGTATTAATATAGAATCTAATATAATCCAAATTAAAATTACCCAACCAGACTAGGTGAAAAGTCAGGTTGAGTTAACCTAAAGTTACTTGATTAAAATTAATTAATTTTTTAAATTTAAAATTTTGATTAATTATACCTTTAATTTTAATTTAAAAATATAAAATAAAATTAGATATATAAATGGTTGTTATTTATTTA